AACTCCCAGCACAAGACTGGTCCTGCCCCCTGCGGTCCAGCGATCTTGTAAATGGGCTGTTGGTGATGTCAGCATGCTCAAAGCACACTCCACAGACAGGAATAGTCCATTGTTGGACCGTGGGGGAGCGCACTTTTCCATAGGATCGGTGAGTCAGGCGAATATGAGCTTAGTTCTCACCCCTAGAAAAAATGAGCAGCTGATCCATGCCGTGAGAGCACAGCCCCACTGCATGGTAAAATAAAATTAACAGGAGTTCTGCTTTAACTCTTGCAGTGTGAGGGGAGCCCCACCACAAATATATTTTTTTTCCCTCCAGAGTCCAGCTTTAATAGACCTCTGACTTCATTTCAATACTAACCGATTGAAGTGTGCTTATAGGATTTTGCCATATTCTATATCTGCAATATAGCAAATGGGGATAGGTGTGCAAGTGGAATATATTTCTTCAGTATTAAGATGGTTTGGTGGACAGTCAAGGGCATGAATGGCAGATGCAGCAATGGCCTCTTTCTGTTTGGCAGTTTGACAGCCGGACACAATGTTCACATACTGTTTTTACATACAGAGGATGGCATGCTATTGTGCACCTTTATATCAGGGGTATTGAATTAAAATTCACAGATGTCCGGTTAACAAAATTTTCTTCCTGCAGAAGTCCAAATTGCATGTTTTGTGCGATCCTTCACATCACAGTCCCCTCCTCTTAATCTAGGTTACCATCTCTGCAGCTGAGGAACACACTTGATATTACACATGTTCCAACCCACAGAGGAACGCGTAGCAGATGCACGTCGGTTCCTCTAGTGCATTTTCACATGCACCAAACCACATGTTGCTGCACTACCATGCTGCTTGGTGTGGGAGAATTCTAAAAAAGGGTTGGGGACTTCTTTCTCAGCTTTTCTCACAGGTAGTACAGCCCATTAAAAGTGAGTGGGCTGACCTATCCTCCCCATCCTGTCCTACTTTACACATAAAAATCAGAGGGCGGGAGGCACAGTAGGTCTGGACGGTGGCCGGGAGTTGCAAGCTGGTGATTGGTTGCTAGGAACACCCTGCATCCTAGCAACCATTCACCTGCTTGTAAAGTAAACTCAGACAGCTCCTGTCCTCCATCCAGAACTGACCTGCCTTCTGCTGTCAGCTGTGTGATGAGAGCGGTGATGGCTGGGGGAGTACCCGGCTTCTAAATGGCATAACAAGATGGGGCTGTATCTAGACTTCTATCCAACATTTAGTGAAGCCTGCCTTATATCGTGTACTCAAAGGAAACATGTACTTAGAAAATACATAGGCTACCACTACTGAACATTCCTTTTAAAAATGCTAGTTGCCTAGCTGTTTACATAGATCCAAAGGCTTCAATACAGTCCAAGTCAACAACCTGCAACATTTATGCAGAGCAGAAGTTCTGATTGACCTCTCTTTCCAGTAGTTCCATAGTTGTTCTAAGTCAGTACCTCAAAATACTAGGAAAAAAACAGACAGGGAAAAACAGGGAAGTTGACAATGGCTACCTCCATATTCTTTCATTACAGGTTTCCTTTAAAGGTTTGCATTTTTTGAGTTCACAGTGTTTCAGGGTGAATGTCTGAGAGTACCCCAGGGCAAGAGTTAAAGTGGCGTTCCAGTCAAAGCTAAACCACCAGATCGTTATTCTATTAGTGTATAGGAAGACCCTTCAGAGAGTGGTGCATTCTGAGCGATTCATGCCGAGCATTCACATGTGAGGCATATCTTTTTTGTGAGTGAGACTCAGATAGGGTAAACACAAGAGGTGGTTCTTCGCGGAGTGGGGTAATCTTATCATTTTTCCTGCACGTGCATGATTGAAGCACGGTTATTCACTATTCATAATAGGTGTGGAACTTTTGTATGGACTTACTTATTAACTTTATGGCTTGATGTATTGTGTATTCAGTATTGCTCTAGCGTCTTCGGAAATCTATTAACATTATTTGATTTCTTGTGAGTTACTTAAGTGTTTATAAAGGAGATAGCAGAAGTTTTTTTGCACAGATATAGAGTAATTAGATAATTATTTGTTCAACACTACAGTATATGTTAACATTTATTAAGGTGTGTATTCATGTTAATTTCCATAGCGCGGTGTTATTAGAAGTTTTTTATATAAAATTATACCATTACATTTATGTCTTGTATACATCACTTTTATGTCATCCCACTGTAAATTGCGCATATTGAAATTTCAGCATAAATTTTCTATGTGCAAATACAACCAATCAAGTTAAAATTCAGCAAAAACAAGTGCAGTAAAACACTTAAAAGTTTCCAGTGCATGCAACTACTTTTGCTGCAAATGCAACACACAAATTACTTATTCCACTGTGTGTCCCACTTTTATCTATCCCACTAGCTGTCCTCTTGCTTGCTTTGTTGTCAGACAGCCGTGAAGCTCAGCGCATTAAGAATAAGGCCAGTGTGTTATGCTTTGGAAATAAATAAGTAATGATTATTGGTACTCATAAAGCATTACAAAACAATAGTGCAATACATAAGTGCAATGCAAATTATATCAAACTCTTATGTGTCACCACAAATTGCAAACATAAAGGAATCCAAATGTGAAGCCAAATACTAAATTCAGTGGTTCTTTGATTATGAGGGAAATGACAGATGTGGATGTCAAATGCCACTAAAGCTTCTTAATAATGAACCACATAGAACCTCGGTGTACAACAAAGGGAGGCTTACCAGAATCATATGACCCCCAGTTAAGAGTGGTCAACCAGCACTTGTATATCAATCCAAGATATCCAGCTTTCCTCAAAACCACATGTCAAACGATAGTACTGTTACGTTATATCAGATCACTGTGCATACAGTATATACTCAGTTGGACATAGTATCATGAAAAAGAAAAAGACAGGCTCTCCATAGTGTATTCCTGATTAAAACACCAATTTAATGTGGTAAATGCTCTTAGAATGAAAAGATGACAATCAGGCACTTCATATCATATAAACAACTCATATTCCAAAATCCAAGATGGCTGCAACGGAATTATGTATGCGTAGCCACATATGTTCTGTCTCTGCCCTACTAGTTTCGTCAAAGATGATGTCATCAGGGGCATGGTACCTATTGATATGCTGTGTCTATCTGTATGTACAGGGTTACCATATAGGGGCAATCAATGGGTTGTGTGGCTATCAATGTGTAATGTATGTAACAGTGAGATCAGTAGAAAGTGAATCATCAGGGGCTCGAAAGCTTAGGACATTAGTTTGAGACCACTGATCTGCAACATTAAGAGTCAGCAGAGCTTCTTTTTTTTTTAAACAAATATAACAGTGTAGCACAACCAAATATATAAGTGATCAAACTGTCCATCAATTCTCCACGTGAATAATGAGAGTTCTAAAAATCCAAAATATATACAATAAAGGTCTTCAAATCTTCTTTGATTGTCACCACTGTGCCAAACCACCACCACACATACAGTATTAGCGCTCACCTCAGAAAAATTACTACTGCGCCAACAGCAGGTCAGAAGTGCTTTCCCTTTAAAGGCAAATAATATCAATCTCAATGGCATTTTTCTTCCCTTGTTTCCTCCACTATGATATGATGTGCATCGCTCATGCAGAGACAACCCATAGTGTGCACCAATAGTGAAACTCTTTTACTGCTAGAAAGAAGCCACTTTCCCAATATTCACAAACAACAATTGTGACTGAAAAGGAGGAATGTATGTACAGATTGACTAAAGCCATTCTATGTGTGTTAACACCTACTACCAACACCACATAGCAGCTCCCAGATCAAGAAACACCTGATGGGAAGGTACAAGGTATAGATTTACTAATAAGGATAGAAATACCCCTGGCATAGGAGGAGTAGGGTGTCATGGATAGTTCTCTGAATGTCTGAATATGTCTGAAAGAAAGAATATGTCTGAAAGACATATGTGCTGAGAGCACGCCTCCGCCCTGCGCGCTCCCAGCACACATGTCTGGTACTCACAGAAAGGTCCCGATCTCTTTCGATCGGGACCTTTCCCAATCATGTGACCGACGTGACGGTGAATCACATGACCCTAAAACCCCCGCCCCGCTACCCGGCTTCTGAAACCCTTAAAGGGCCGGAAGGTGCCTGCGCCAAGGGGTTAAAGTGAACCTGTCCCAAATCTGTCCTGATTAAGATACAATGCAGGAGGGTGGTTTCTACATTTTTGACCCTTTGGGAAGACCGAGTGTATAAGTCTAGTTAAAGCTAATAATAATTAAGATCTGCCTGCACAGTACAGACAGGGTTAATTATAGCAAACACCGCTGTCCAGCCCACTCACAAATAAAGAGCACTATGTAGATATTTTCTTTCCTGGAGGGTCAAGAACAGAGCATCTAAAAAAAAAAAAATTTGCAGTTTTTAAATTTTTTTTTTAATTATGTTTTGTGAATGAGGACATATAACAAATATAAAGTAGGTGCTATACCAATTTGGCTGCAGAAGCGGAAAAAACACTTTAAATGACTCCATCCTAATGGAGAGATAGTGTTGGTAAGTAGGTGATCCTGTTTCCGGAAAAAATATATCCATCAGGGTCCAAGTCACTTAAAGAGCCCATAAAACTCAGATGAAGAACATTTTGGGAATTAGGAGTAGGCATTGCACTGCGAGGAAAAAACAAAACCCTGTTGCTACACTAAACCGAACAACAGAAACCAAGTGCGAAGCCTATACCTAAAACAAGTATAATTAAAGGGGCGCAATGTTACTATTGTGTCCTGCATTGACTTGGAGTCAGCAGAAGGAACAGTGGCAAGTGGGACAACCCACTATCCAACCAGCCTAGGGAATCAAGTAGGAGTGCTGTGAGCTCTGCTACACAGTGGCGCTTTCGCGAATGGGTTGCCAAAGGGGTAAATATAATGCGGCTTTCTTTGCAGTTTATTTCTTTTAGTATATTTTACCCCCTGACTTGGTCTCTTTAAGATGCACTTATGACTGTGTGTAAATTATCCGATCCGCAGGAGACCTGAACAAGGAAAAAAGACGGTTACAAAGCATTATGGCCACAGGGAAGGATCTGCCAGACATCCCCCAAGCACCTGTACAAATAGAGGAGACTGAAATAGAGGAAAGGGACAGATTTGATGAGTGTAAGTACCGTGCACTGAAGTAGGAAGAAGCTGTGCTAATGTTGCAGTATTAGAAATTGCTGATGGTTTTCTCCTTACAGTGGTGGAAGAAATCCAGGAGAGATGGGATTTCTTGACAGAAATGGAAGCTTTGGGTCGAGGAAGACAATATTACAACAATATTAACACAGAAATTTCACAGGTAACAAGCTTATGGAAGAATGTCAGGAGAATCAGTGTAACAAGTTTTTGGGAAGGAACATGCTGTAGAAAAGCCAGAAATTCATACCAATGTTGTTTCTCTTGCAGAAGCTGCGAGAGATGGAAATTATTGATAAGCAGAGAAGTGCTGCACTCAGAGAAGCACTGCAGAAGTCAGAAAACAAGAACTCTGCTCTATCAAATGAAAATTAAACACTTTTTTTTTGGCCCACTGTGGACTTTTACAAACTATTAAAGTACTTGCTGTTCTTTTTTCTTTATGTCATCTAAGCATTTGTCTGTCTTTTTTGACAGCAGATACTATAATGGCTGGTCTATAGTTTGCATATGTTTGAAAATCTGTATGTAAAGTTAAAAAGTCTTTTGAGGCATTGTTGTGCTGCCAAGTTTTCCATCTGCTTCTCGCTGCTGATGCCACTGTCGGTAGTTCATGAGTTTGGATTAGAAACATTTTTTTTAGTTTAATTGCAAACTGTGAATCAGTTTGGCTTACTGTCCTGGATTAACCACAACTGAAGAGACAGATTCTCTTAAATAAAAAGGGATGTGAACAATAGTGCTGATTATCCCTGCATGTCTATATAATTTTGTTTATGACAAAATGAACAAAGAAAAACTTAAGCAAAGGTGGAGCTCTTACCCACATCAACTAGTCTCTTTTGGCTCCAGTTTTCTTTGTACCATTTTTTGTAAATCTGGTCCATTACTCGCATAACTAAAACAGTAACAGGTATCAAAACTTGCAGCCAAACGTTTTTTTCTAGGGAGAAGAGTTATAACCTTCCTCAGGGTTGTTATTGATGTCCTGACTGGGCTGCTGGGGAGACCCATGGTTATTTTTTTCTCCTGGAGACCGTTGTCATCACAAGGACATTGTGTCAGACAGTAGGACTCTCTGTTGTCAGAATACAAATCATAATAATCATTGGCTGCAACCGCTGATCAACAAATGTTTTCCAACATTGCCTTTGGACAGATGTCGCTTTATTGATCGATATCTGTCAAACACACGAACAGGTACACATGGATCAAAATTCGACTAGTCCCTGTTGAAGGGACCAAATCTCAATCCACTTATAGTTAGTTTTAGTTTTTCAATCATGGCACTGACTTGCATCAAAGCAGGCCTAAAATTAGAAAAACTCTTAGCTCCATGCTTCCAGCCCGAATGCTTCAATCATGTCCCAAAGCAATACTTGTGGGTTGTTCACTCCTGGTTTCTCAGATTTCTGACTGCTCTTCCTCCAGTAAAGTCACTGTCTCTGCTATCAAGCACTGAAGCATAGCCAGCCCTCTGCACACACATGCACTGCCTATGCTGTAGCTTCTCTTCTAGCTGCTTTGCCACCTCCAGTGGCAGAACCGCAGTTGGGAAACGCTGGAATAGAAACTGTTGTTGTAGGTTTTGCTTTGTACTCAGTCACTCCTCACTATTAAAGCCAATGTCATCAAATTAGGGTTTTGGATTAGAAACTTCTTTTTTTAAGTAAAATTGCAATGTGGAAGAAATTCAGTTTATTCGTGTCTTCTGCACTGAAGAAGATTGTTGTATTAGGCTTCATGCACACTGACATTTTCTTTTAACTCTCCTGGAAGCCTCCACCTAGCAGCAGCGTTTTGGCCAAAAAATACCATGAACACCAAACAATTCACCTCACTATAATCATTTTTTTGTTTTGTAGGTATTGTTTGTGTTCCATTTATTGTTTTTTGCAGAACATTTCAGTGGCGTAAAAAGGTGTACCTCACAATTTCCAAGAGCATCACTTCCAAATAGTTCTCCTGGTTTCTTAAGTATGGATGGTCTCAGGTATTTTGGATGGAAAATAAGCAGCCCCCCACACACACCATGCTAGTTAAGCCTTGTTTATGACATTGAAGTAGATGTAAAGCCCAAATGAATGCAAATGAATGGCTTTAGTCTGCTAAAGTAGTTTAACAAACACTTTCCCTTTTTTCATATAAAGTAATTATCAACTTTTTCATCTTTTGTTACATCCCGCAACCTGCTGCATATCTCCTGCAGCCTCTTCTGTCTGAATGCAAGTACTCCACTAGTGGCTGCTTTGAGGGTGTCCTAAATGTGACAATAGTAAAACATGCCCGAGTAATGTGCATCATGTGTGTTTGTCTGTCAATCCAAAACAGGAAGTGTCTGAACCAGGATCTACATGGCAGGATCACTATATTTAATTTTAATGAAAGCAGCAGATTTAAAATGACTTCTAAAATCACATTAATATGTTAAAGCACATATAAGATATTAGTGATTAGGTTTACATATACTTAGCACACTGTGTAGGGACTGCATGCTGCCATGGTACCAGCTGAACAGTACAGGGTCACAAAAGGAATACAGAAGGCCTTAAAATAGAATTTTTGATTACCTGTAAATAATTTTTTTCATTGTAATCTTCAAGTACACTACAAGACATAGGAGCTTAGTCTTAGACCATGGGTTATGTAGCTACCTTCAGGTGATTGGATACTGGAAAACAAAGCTGTAAGGACAGCTCTAGAATAACCCCTCCAACTTCCATCAAGCCTCAGTTTGGTAGCAAGCAATGAGTGAATCATAAGGAAGAGAGCAGAGGGACCTGTGTCCTGTAATGTACTTCAAAAAAAGGATTTTACAGGCAATTCAAAAAATCTGTTCTCTTAAATGTGCATTACAAAACACAGTGTCTTAAACTTAGACCAGCCGAGACCATTCGAGTGCCTGCTACAGTGTGTTCGGGAAGCGCCAGCGTACGGGTCTGGCAGAGGCGGTGCCGGAGTTTGTTGTGTCATATTGGGATTGGGACTGTCAGTGCTGTTTGGACTTGAGTGGACTGAAGGGACCACCTGGCATAGAGAGAGACTGTCACTGTGACTTCGGACGGGACATGTAATGTCGGTGAGGTGTTATTATCATCTGTGCTGCTGCACACTGCTGTCAGTGATACTGTGAAAGTCAATTTTATGTGTGCATGCCTGCCCATTATAATTTCTTGCTCTCCTGAGTAAAGTCCCTAAGCTACTTAGTTACTACACTCACCAGCCACTCTATTAGGTACACCTTGCTAGTGCAAAGAGCCTGTGCAAATTGTAGCCTCCGTTTCCTGTTCTTAGCTGACAGGAGTGGCACCCTATCTGTTTCAAGGTTCAATATGTTGTGCGTTTAGAAATGGTATTCTGCATACCTTGGTAATAATGTGTGGTTATTTGAGTTACAGTCTGCCCATTCTCCTCTGATCTCTGACATCAACAAGGCATTTTCGTCTACACAACTGTTGCTCACTGGACATTTTCTCTTTTTCAGACCATTCTCTGTAAACTCTAGAGATGGTTATGCACGAAAATCCCAGTAGATTGGCAGTCAGACCAGCCCGTCTGGCAGCAACAACCATGCCACGTTCATAATCACTTAAAGCCCCTTTCTTCCCCATTCTGATGCTCGGTTTGAACTTCAGCAAGTCATCTTCACCATGCCTAAATGCATTGAGTTGTTGCCATGTAATTGGCTGATTAGCAATTTGTGTTACCAAGCAATTGAACAGGTGTACCTAATAAAGAGGCTGGTGAGTGTATATTGAAAATAAAATTAGAATTTTTTTTTGCCCTAAATTAGAACTGTAGGCAAAACTGTTTTTCATTTTGGATAGAGCAAAGAAGGGTTATAACCGCTGTCAGATTTATTCGCCATCTGTGTCCCATTGCATAGATTTCCCTTTACTTCCTGTCCCATAGCTATATAAGTGGGAGGAAATCCCTGCAAATTAAGAGAAGTCCTTGGGGGCCCCCCAGGTCATTGGAACTAGTGTCCTTATTGGATACTTTCCCCTCTATTACTTTTCTGGAGACAACCCAAAATTTGGGATTTTCTTTTACTTTCAATTTAAATGATAATGGTAAACAGGACAAATAGAGAGGGTGAATCTCCCTAACGGTAGTGCAGACAGCAATAAAAACTGCCAAGAATTCTAAACCCTCTCCACTCTATTCAAAAATAAAAAAAAGTTTTGCCTTTAATTGTACTTTAATATCTACCTTAAATCACATTTCTATTTGCATATTATACTGTTTGTAGCCTAAATACTGAAATTTGCACTTAAAACTGTAATTTTTTAACTTTTAGAAATGCCAGTAAAAACCTGACTGTGCCAGTAAAATTTGGGAGTCATGCCAGTGAATTTCAATCTGGCAGGTTGCCAACAGTGCCGGCAAGACAAACTTATCCCTGTGTTACACTTGGCAGGGCTTCTTACAGGATAAGGCTACTAACTCTGAGACACGTTGCACAGAGGTGATAGTAAGGAGAAAGGCATACTTGTGAGGGGAGACGGGGACACCCTTAACAGACTCGAAGGGTGATTTGTTTAGAAATGGCAAAACCAGGCTGAGTACAAGAGGGAGCAAAGAGAGCAAAGTGACCCTGCACAAAAGCTTTCACCAATGAGCAAGATGTGTTTTGAAAAGAATAACTAGGGCCGAAATTTGACACTTAAAGTGGCTGTAAACCTCAGACACGAAATATAAACAAAGCACTTCCTTCTACAGTATACGATGTACTTGTCTCTATCTAATCTAGAGTGTCATGCTTATAACAAATAAGGAGGCAGCAGAGAGCGATGAGTCACCTCTGACAGGATTTCCAAACACCAAGAGAAAAAAAAAAGGTGAAGGGGGAGGAGAGCTCCAGTACACAGCCTGTGATTGACAGTCACAGCTGTGCATGTTCTCTGTGTGCTGTGAGGGGAGGGGTGTGTCTCTTTCCTCCAGTAAAAGCTCAGGGCTTCATTCACTGAGAAATATGAGTGTACCACTGTATTACTTTAGGCGGGGTAGCCTATTAATAAGCTCAAAGATTGCACCTATTTAAAAGTGTGGGTGTGAACCAAAAAATTATGAAGCAAAAAAGTAGTAGTTGCCATGAGCCAACTACCGAAGTAGGTAATAAACACCCAAGCAATGTAGCTTATATGTAAAATCACATATTTTTATTATTCCTTTTTAGGAGAAAAGATAATATCCGTGGATGGTGACATATGCAATCACTGAATACATATTAAAAACAACGAAAAACAAGCAATCCACTATTTTGATTTGGAATAGAACACTACACATTCTATTCCAAATCAAAACATGAAGAAAAATACATCAAATTTGTGTTGTTCCTCTGAAAAAAAAAAATTGAAGAAAAGTGAATATTA